GTGTGAACGCAGTTACAGCGGCAGACTTCCTTCTGTCATTCAAGTCAGTTCTGCAGCCAAGCACCATCAGGAAAGACGCAGCTTTGCCAGTATAAGCTGTGTTTGCATTAAGAATACCTTCACCTCAGCGTACCAGTACAGAAATAATGGGGTACTTTCCCAGTGTGGATGCAGATGACATAAATAGATACAGCAGTCTCTTCCCAAACTCCCACATGCCTTTGCCAAGAATAAGCACAGTGAACTTCACAGGCAGTCGGGTAATTCTGAATCTTGCTTCGAAACTTGGAGGTAACTCAAGCCATTACCTGTCTATATCATTTTGTTGAGGAAAGCATAAGGAACCAATACAAGGACAATAGTTATTCACAAAGAAAACTGAAAAAGAAATAAAACACTAACACACCTGCCAGCAGCAGAAACACCAGAATAAAGAGTTTTGACACCCTTACTAAGACAAACCCCCATCTATACCCCGTTCTTTTAGAAAACTGTCAGCAGCATGAACTTCCTACTTCAACAATAAAAAGAAACATTTGTTTCTCTCCAGAAATCTGTTCCGCCAAGCAAAATCTTATTGTAGGACAGTGACTACCTTACTACAATCCTACAATCAGTTCAAACCCTAAAGTCAGGAGCAACTCTATTAAAAAGGCTTGTCCATTGCAAGGCTGATACTGATTCACAAGTATTTTTATCCTTACACATATACAACAGTTTATGGCTACAAAGCGCAACCTCTTGCTTCCACACTCCAGTGATACATTATAGAATCTAGAAGAAAAGGACCTAGGATTTCCCCTCCCAACATCACGATGTACTCAACTTGGGGGGGGGACATGTGATGGGCCAGACACAGGGAGGGGAGATGGACAACCATGAAGCAGTATTTTCTCACCCATTTTTTTCAGTCTGGTCAAGTCAGTTCCCCTACTATTTTTAGTCATTAACATCTACAACGGTTACTTCAATTATAAAATGGGTTAAGTTGCCTTCTGTGCTGAATCCGGCATCTAAAAATAGTGATAAAATTATACTTCCCCCACTGCAATAACTTACAAATCCCTTTAGAACAGACAGTTTATCAGAAAGTATTCCACGGTCACAGAGGGAGAGCTCTTTCCTAAACATCCCATCTTTCTAGCTTCATCACTGCTCAGACCTGTCCTAATGCCAAGATCTTGTACTGTCTACATCTTGCATTTACCAGAATAAGAGACTGTTGTTTCTACCTTCAGTCAAGTCACTGGGTTCTGCATGTTCATTTGACAAAAAGCTTTTTTTTTTTAAAGCTGCTTTGCAAAGACATGTAAACCTCCAGCCATTACTTCTCAACATCCTAATAGCAAGTAGCCTCATTATACAATAAAGCATAAATAATAAATTATGTTATTACTAGTGAATTTGCGGCAATGAAGTGTTTGACCTACATAGCTTTCTTGTTACCACAACTCGGAACAAACAGATTTAAGTCTTTCCATAACAATATTAATTTTGGTAGAATCCAGAAAACAAGACCTCCAAAGTGACTGAACCACCAAAATAAATTTTGTGAGAGAGGTTTGTTATTAACATGGTCAATACAACATTTCCAAAAGCAAGTCAGCTGAGGAATCTGCAATGGAGATGAATAACAAATCCTCCCTGACAGTTCTTGGCAGGACAAGTTCTTATATTATGGAGCAGTGAGAAAATGAAGACCCTCCAGGAAAGAATAGAATGTGTTTCAAAGGGAGACCACGCAAAAGCAGCAAGAGCAGAAAATATTTACAAGGCAGCACAAATGCAAGAATTTCAAATGCAAAAGTGAGAATTCCCCACTGAATATAAATAAGTTTAGGAAACAAATTTATCACACGTTAAGAGATTATAGGAAAGTGTCAATACATGAAAGTTTGGATTAACCACGCGCTGCTCTGAACAGCTCCTACTCAGCTTCTAAATAAATGCTTTCTCTGCTACAATTTTTGAGGGCTGAATAGCATCAACCTTAGAGCTTCATAGTATGGGATACTGCTAAAGCAAATCCTTTTATTGTAAACATCCTGAAATGTAAGTGTTTTATTTTGAAGCATACATTTATCACCTCTCACTATATTTTATTGTGAAGTTTCAGCTTCCAGACCATTTTCTACAGAAAATGTGCAGTGACAAACTAGGAAGCCATTTTATGCCAAGCAAAAACAGGTGTTTATTGATACTGATTGTCCACTTCTCCCTACTCACTTCCACCTATTGAACATCACCGTTGCACAAGAACAGCATCAAGCATTTTGATATTTTGAAAGCTTCTCAAAAACTTTACTCAAAAGAGTAAGTTCTGAGAAAGCAAGACAGGCATTTTTAAAGGAAAAAAAAATCTGTTTGAAATGTTCCTATACAGTAGGGCACATAGCTGGAGACCGTATAGCTGTATGTCACATTTCAGATGAAACTATACTTCTCAGTAGACAGTTCTCTGTCAGTGCAGCCCAAAGTTTTCTTAGCAGAAAGAATTTTTATTTGTTTAATGGCAGTTTTG